CTTCCGGCCTGGTACTCTGGGCGGGCCTGAGTTGCCTCTCCTCACCTAATCCCTTCGGCTGACTGCTCTTCTCTCTGGCTTCCTGGCTTTTAATCCCCTTTCTCCTGCTCTTCCCGCTTGCTACTTCAGGCATCCCTGAGTTGTCTCTCCTCACCTGTAACCCTGGGGCTGACTGCCTTACATAACATAGATGGCCTTTTTATTCCACCTGTGCAATATCATAATTTGGAAACATTCTATACTATTTGTTCTGGAAAAATTTTTCCCATGGGATGTCAATATTACTAATGGTTGATAGCGTTTAAAAGTCAGGAAATGAAACATCAAACACTAACAGTTTTACTAAAAATAAAAAAAAAAATGGTAAAGGGCTTGTGATATTTGCATTAAAAATTATGTACCATACCAGTTAGAATATCTCACCCTTAAATTTTAAAGAGCTAAAAATCTAAGCAGGAGGAAAATGACAAAGACATTGTATTATTTAAGTCCTTATCTTAGATATGTATTCAGTGCATACCAATTGAGAAATAAATACTTTGAAGTTCTATCAAGAAAGTAAAGATAATAAAAATTGGTTCCCACAGAAAAGATAATTCCTTGCACTGAAATGTCACACAAAGCTAGTGTCTTGAGTTTGAATGGAACAAAGGTAAAGAAGACCATCATAACCAAAAATGTTTTATGATTCAGCAAGTATTCTCTATTCCAGTGACACATACACATCCTGCCCTAATCTAATTTGTTCTTCTTCTCTGTCCCCATCACAAGGACTACTTTCAGAAGTTTCTAGTTGAGTCCTGTTCCAGGCATCTTACAAATCCTACTTGTCTCAAAGTGACAAGGAAAATAATTCCAGGCCCATTTATCTTTTTCATTAACAAGTACAACACAGTGTGCTTCCCACAATTTGTTGAGTTCATCCTTATGCCAGAATCTAAAAGAAAAGAGGAAAAAAAGCAAAATCATAGGTCAGTGACAATGCAGAGAAAATTCCCCTGGTGAGCAATTGAGAGCTGCACTGTCTAATACAATGGTCACTAGTTACATGTGGCTATTGAACACCTAAAATGTGACTTCTTTGTATTGAGATGCTGTAATTGTAAAGTATTATTAGTATAAAAGACTTAGTACAAAAAAAAAGAATGTAAAATATCAGCAATAATTTTTATATTGCTAATGTGTTAAAATAAAAATATTTAGGTATATTGGGTTAAATAAATTATATTATTAAAATTAAAATTAATTTCACATATTTATTTATACTTCCTTAATGTGGCTACTAGAAAATTGAAAATTACATGTGTGGCTTGAGTTTTTATGTAATTTTTATTAAACAGAATTGGTTAGAAGGAAGAATATGAGAAGATTATAACTGTTACAAAAACATTTTTATTGCTTTATGTTTTTCCCAAATGTAAAGCCTAGGATAATATGTTTTCACACAACTCCCATGGTATCCATTCTTTCATTGACATTGGACAAATAAGAATACTAGCAAGTCCACTGAAGTTACAGGTTTGTTATGTAACTGGGGAATAGTACATAAAAGTTACTTGACATGTATTACTCTATTCAGAGTAAGCATACTCACCCTATATTCCATGCAGTAATGAATTCTGCTTGCTACTTTCATCTTATCTTAGCCTGTAAAGCCCTCTAGCCACAGTCAGTTTACTTACACCATGCGTGGGTTAAATGGTGTCCCATCTACCCAGTACCACTGGCCTTCAGTGTTCTGATCTGTAAGTCCCAGGAAATAGGAAAGTTGTCTATCCAAAAATTTAATAATAAAGTTCTGCATGAAAACACAAAATTTTATTATAAGTATGAATATAATTCTCCACTGAATCCCTTCCATATCAACTAATTATGTCAACCTTTCATGTCAACCAAATTGCCAATAAATTACTATTATCAAAAAAAAAAAATTTATAAATATATTTGCACTGATAAATTGATGGCTGTTATGTGGGAGAAAGAGAGAAAAGGTCAAATAGATTATTGATTGTCTTGGTTCAAGTCCAGGAACAATCCTAAGATCGGCAGGCAACACAGCAGGCCACTGGTTCAAGTCCAGGAATTAGAGATGAAGAATAAGCTAAATGCAAGGTCTAAGTGTGCCAAAGAGTTAGTGAATTTTCTCAAAGCTTTTCCATGTATACTGGAAGCCAGCCACGCTCCAAAGGCAGCTCCCTTTCCACTGATTAATGTATCACAGTGGATTACACCATGAAGTTGGCTATCCAGTCTCACCATGGGGAATAACTACATCCAGGTGCCAAGCCACACAAAAACCACAGCCCAACCAAGTTGACATACAACCTTAACTACCACATTGATTAAGTGCAAAAGTTTGTCTTCAGATAGGTCTGCTTTCAAATCTTGCCTCTGACATTTGTTGAGCAATGTTGGTGCATGCTTTAATCTCAACAAATCCCAGTTTTCTCATTTCCAAAAGGGACAACTCCACCAAGTTACAGAATTACTGTGAAGATTGGTGATCATACTTGTAAATTTCTTAACCCAACACTTATTGAGATTGGATTTTTAGGAGCTTTTGTTGTTACAATTGCCTTCTTTATTTGCTTGTGTATTCCATTAAATTGCATTTCATTCATGAGTCAGTAAACCTATAGACTGAAAATCTATGGAGATAGAATCCTCCAGGAAACCCTGCTACCAAGGATACACTAGAATCTGGGTTCTGCTACATACATGAAAATAAATCACATGAAAAAATAAATTTTAAGTTTTTTTAAAAAAATATTGCCTTAACATTTCCTCATTTAGAATTAGAACCATAAATCTGAGCTGTTTTCAGTCCTGATTAACCATTCATTTATTCACGTATTCACCAAATATTTATCAAGACCTATCCATTGTGCTTGGCACTGCACAGAACACTGGGGATGCAAAGATGAGTGAGACATGGCCCCAGACCTCCCCAGTGTAAGAAACAATGGAAGAGATGAGGAGGGAACAGACAATTACAGTGCACTGTAGCTTTTCTTAGGTGCTGTTGAGTTGGCTCCAGAACGAAACAACAGAACGAAACACTGCCCAGTCCTGCACCATCCTCATAATATTTGCTATGCTTGAGCTCTTCATTGCGGCCACTGTGTCAATCCATCTCATTGAGGGGTCTTCCCCTTCTTCTCTGACCCTGTACTTTACCAAGCATGATATCCTTCTCCAGGGACTGATGTCTTCTGACATGACCAAAGTAGGTGAGGCAAAGTCTGGCCATTCTTGCTTCAAATGAGCATTCTGGCTGCACTTCCTCCAGGACAGATTTGCACATTGTCTGGCAGTCCATGGTATTTTTCAGTATTTTTCACCAACACCACAATTCAAAGGAATCAACGTCTCTTTGTTCTTCTTTATTCATTGTTCAGCTTTCACATTCATAGAGGTGATCGAAAATACCACGGCATGTCTTCAGAGTAACATCGTTACTCCTTAACACTTTAAAGAAGTCTTTTGCAGCAGACTTGCCCGGTGCAATGTGATTGTCTGATTTCTTAACTGCTGCTGCTTTGGGTGTTGATTGTGAATCTAAGTAAAATGAAATCCTTGACAACTTCAATCTTTTCTCCATTTATCATGATATTGTTTGTTGGTCATTTTCAGGATATTTGTTTTCTGTACGTTGAGGTGTAATCCATACTGAAGACTGTAGTCTTTGATCTTCATCAAAAAGTGCTTCAAGTCTTCTTCACATTCATATATCATGTGCATATTGCAGGTTGTTAATGAGCCTTCCTTCAAACCTGATGCCGCCATGGTAGAGAAGTTTTCTGGAAGAAATAACTCCTGAATCTAATCTTGAAAAACCAGAGAACATCCGCCATATAAGAAGCAGATAGAATAGATTGCGCAAAGGCACAGAAGCATAACAAAGCAGAAAAAAAAAAAAAAAAAAATCTCTTTCACTACAAAGAGATTCATACCAGCAGAGAGATGCTGATATGAACCCCCAACATACCTGCTCAGCCTCAGTCCTGATGGTCACCAGGTTGGCTCCCATCCCTGTACAGTTGCTTACACTCTCAGCCCAGGTCTTGTTGTCATTTAGAAAAATATAGCAGTTGGACTGAAAGGCTCTCCAGCCAACAGGACAGCAATTCCAGGTGCTCTCTCGGATGAAAATTGAAATGGAAAATAGTTACAAGGAGCATTTAATCTGTAACAGATTGGATAAGTATCTACCACCCAATACCCACTTTACCATTTGTGGGAGTAAGACCAGAATTAACAAAAGCATTGTTTCCTCCAAAATCCTGTAAATTACAATTCTAAATAAAACACAGGTAAATATCTTTCTAAGCAGAAGTATCTGGATCACAGAATGGCTATGAGAAAATTACAAAGTAATCTCTTAGCAAACATGATCATTATTCAACACTCCAATATCTATTTAGTTTTATATTTTAAGTGTTTTCATAACAAAACCTTCTCCAAGACATTTTATCTTAAGGAGGCAAAAAATTTGCCAGAACTCTCAAACACTTTCCCCTTCTCCAAAATAAGGCTTCACAAATTCCATAATATTAGAAGAGATGAAGACAGTTCAGTAAAGCTATATATTCTAGGAGAAAAGTGTCCTTATAATATGTCTGAATCAATGGAAAATGGAATTAAATTAGTACTATGTTTTCAGTATAAAAAACTGCCCATAAATGTATTAAATTATATTCTGGAGTTATTCAACCAATTACAATCATGAGAAATAATTTTATCTCAATTAAAATTGTATCTCAATTGATGCTCATCTTTGTGTCAGATCCTCCTTTTATATTTTAATCTCTCCTGATTTACTACCGATATTCTTTCAGTGGGATTATGAATTTGGATGGAAAAAAAATAACAAAAATTCTTGTATACTGTCTGTCATCTATACCTTTCTGTTTTAATTTGTCTCTGATGCATGTCAGTTCGCTGTGATACTTTGGTAACTTGAACACTCCAGTGCTTCTTTTACACCATGGAACGTTGTGATGAGTCACTGACATGAAAGAAAACAAGTTACTTGCCTTTCTCAATACAGCCACTTAATTAGGGAAATAGGGACTAACCTCTCCAAACTTTCTCTTACCATAATAGTTACCACTGCTACTTGTCACTGAGTTGTCTCTGACTCATGATAACCATGTGTGCTAGAGTAGACCTGTGCTCCATATGGTTTTCAATGGCTGATTTTTTTAGTACAACTCCAGCTGTCTTCTCCGAGGCATCAGTGGATGGACTCGAACCACCAACTTTTCAGTTAATAGCCAAGCACCATAATTTTTTTTTATAGTTGTTTATACCACCAGGGACTCCACCATAACAGGTAAGTCCTCCATATTCTTTTTCTTCCCACACAGTTTCTTTGTTCCTGGTCTTGGTGAATTGATTGAAAGCAATTGGTTGTTATTAATATTTTTCTCATATACCCTCTGCTATCTGTATGTACCTTTCAGTTTTAATTTCTCTCTGATTTTGTGCTTTTTAAGGGTGCAAGTGTTACGTGCACATTTTTTAACCATATTTGTATATCAGAATTTGTGTAGACTGGATATTTTTGGTGAAGGTTGGAATAGTTCTGCAAAGTTTTATAAGCTTTTTACATATATTTATTTTTAAAAAAGTTTTTCTGTGAAATATAACTAAACATAGAAAAGTGAAAAGACACATTGTTGTTGTTGTTGTTAAGTGCCGTCGAGTCGTTTCCGACTCATAGCAACCCCATGCACAGCAGAACGAAACACTGCCAGATCCCGC